CAGCAGCAAACCATTTGAAAACATACGATGCAAAGACCAGAGTTACCAACTTAGCTCTTTTGTCGCTATGTTTAGCGACTTTTCAAATCCCTCTAGCACTTTTATTTCAAAAAAGCGCCAAATGTAGCACAATCTAACACTGTTTTTCTAGGAGCAAGAAGCAAAAATAACTGTCTGCATGGTTAAAATAAATTTTTATACTAACTTAGAACAAGTTGAACTCATTCAAACCAATTCACAATGCAAAATCAATTCATAAAAAAGCTAATGGCTAGAAGACAGGAGGAGATTCTTTTAAAAGGGCTCTAGGTCATATTTTAGCAATCAAATATAGTGAGCAGGTCAGAAAACACAGATATTAGTGTTTAAACTGTTTGTTATAAATGTATTAATAACACAGGCGTCATTAGCTTGGCCTCTTAGCTTTCAGTTCGGGTTTTAAAACATATTAAAAACACTTTAAATATAAGGTGATGATCAAAACGCTGGTGAAGATTCTCACTCATCCAGCTCATAGTCGTTCCTAAAAAAGTAAAAAAAAAAAAAAACAATCTACTGGACTTTGTTTCCAAGTTAGACGATGTTTCGCTTCCCATCCAGGAAGCTTTTTCCTTTCAAAATGTCAGGAATAGCGTTGAGTTCGAGAAGCACAGAAGGGAAGGACAAAAACAGAAAAACATTGAAGATGCTCTTCAAACCTGTGGATCCCCAAATTGGGTGTTTGTCAAATCAGCAAGGAAATCCAAAAGACACACAGCAGGACATAACGGTGAGAAGAATAATCGCAAAAACATCGCCATCCCATATGTTGCTGGAGTCTCTGAAAAACTCAAGATGATTTTCTCCAAACATAAAATCCCAGTACATTTCAAACCAAACAAGACCGTTAGGCTAGTGCATCCTAAGGACAAAACCCCCAAACCAAATCTGAGTGGAGTGGTGTCTGCAGTTCAATGCAGTGAGGAATGCTCTGATCTTTAACCTGGAGAAACCAAACAACCTCTCCACAGACGAATGGCCAAAAAACAGAAGAGCGCCCTCCTCTGGACAAGACTCTGCGGTACATCTTTCTTTGGAGGACAAGAATGTTCACCTATTGGACAGGTGGTTTGAGAGGGAAGTGTAGGA